ATAATAGCATGGAAATAAAATTATAACATAATGTTAATTCAAGAAAGCAGAAATAAACATCTTACATATGGTGTGACTAATTTTAGAACATGCATAAAAAACAGACTGAAAAGAAGTTTACCACAAAAGCTGGTTGAGATTCTCTTTGTCACTGAGTACTTTTTCCTTTTTTCCTGGTGCTATATCCTTCATGAATTTTCCTACTTGTATTATTCCTGTTTATTATGAAAATTTCTAAACACACAAAGAAAAAATATAATAAAATACCAGGTATCTATCATTCAGCTTCGACAACCACCAAATTTTAGGTGTACATGCATCATCTTTCCACAGTGTATTTTTATTGGGGGGGGGAATATTTTAAAGCAAATCTCAGACATCTTCCCAATCTATTCCGTGTACTTTAAAAAGTCATATTCCTACATAACCACAATACCATTATTTCATCTATTAAGAAATTAAGAAAGATTCCTTAATATCTAATACACAGCCCATATTGGAAAGTCTGATTGCCTACATGTCTTTATATAGTTGGTTTGTGCTGAATGAGAATCAAAACAAGAACCACTTGTTACAATCTGTTTTGCCTTCAGAATCCTACTTCAGCAGTGTTATGGGCTGAGTTCTTGTCCCCCCAAAATTCATATGTTGAAATTCTAACCTGCAGTACTTCAGAATGTGACTGCATTTGGAGATACTGTCTTTAAAGATGCAATTAAGCTAAACTTAGGTCATTAGACGGGCCCTAATCCAGTAACACTGACATCCTTCTAAGAAGAGATTAGGACACAGACAAGTACAGAGGGGAGACTACGAGAAGACAGAGGGAGAAGGCAGCCATCTAAAAGCCAAGGAGAGAGGCCTCAGAAGAAATCGACCCTGCCAACACCTTGATCTTGGACTCCTCTTACATGACTTACAAAAACATCATCGTACCTCATATCCCTGTATCTAGATTTGTTTTCTTCCCATCCATTTTCCACACTGCAGCCAGAGCTTCTTTCTGAAATGAAAATTTGACCATTTTACTGCATTATTAAAACCCTTTAATGGTACTTCATGGACCCAATAATAGTTTCTAGGTCCCTTCATAACTAGCTTACCTCTCGTCTTACTTTCTCCCAAAGTCTCCAGTCTCATTCTTGACTTTTCATCACGCTGAATTTACTTTAGTTCCTGGATTATGTCAAGCTTTCTTTTAGTCAGCACTGTACTTCATCTTTTTCTACCCAGAAACCCTTCCCAACTGGGACAACTATATATTTTTTAAATGTTATTTCTGCTATGAAACATTCCCTGCCACCCCCACCCCCAGCCCAACTTCAACACTGCAAGTTATTGCAAAGATCCATGCAAGAGATGATAACAGGTGTACATCTCAGCCAGTCCCATAAACTGGGGAATGTGTTATGAAAATAATACCTGACTAAGAATGCCCAGCCAGAGTTATAACCTCTTTTAATAAAAGGAGGTACTTAAAGCCCTGGGTGGCATAGCTCAATGGATTGAGCGCGGGCTGCAAAACGAAGTGTCACAGGTTCGATTCCCAGTCAGGGCACATGCCTGGGTTGCAGGCCATGACCCCCAGCAACCGCACATTGATGTTTCTCTCTCTCTCTCTGTCTATCTCCCTCCCTTCCCTCTCTAAAAATAAATAAATAAAATCATTAAAAAAAAGGAGGTACTTACATCACAGTTGTAAGGACAAGTGAAAAGCATATCAAATACCTATAATACCTAGTTCCTAGAGGGAGATCAATACAGGGGTGGGCAAATGTAGGCTTACAGTTGTAATACAAAATACATAATAATTAATAAATAATAATACAAGAATAAACTCGGCGTCATGTACTCACAATTGTAAACCTACATTTGTTCACCCCCTGTAATACGTTACCATTACTCATTCACGAAAATGTTCGTGAAGTGTACCATGGTTAATGCTGAGGCTAGAAAATTAAAGTACAATGCAAAGTAAAATATTTTATACAATGAGTGTCCCAAGTATAACAGGACATACATAGCAGGAGTGTTTACAGGAATTAGTCAAACTAGTTAATATTCAAAGGATCACAACATTTGGGCTGAGACATGCAGAAGTAGAAGTTTATAAGGAATTTTCAGGAAAAGGGGACAATGTGTATAAGAAGTAGGGCATGGAAAGATACAGATTGTTGCGGTGCACTATTTCAGTATTGCTGAAGCATAAAACTGAAATGAGACAATGAAGAATGAAACCAGTCAGAGAGATGGAGCATCTTGTATCCCAGACAAAATAACTAGAGTTTTCTCCTACAGATCATCTCTGAAGAATTTTTAGGAGACTGGCATTATCAGATTTACATTTTTAGTGAGGTTATTCTGGTTAATGATGTGGAGAACGGAATTCAGAAGTCAAAACTCGAGACAGGGTTGAGAACCTCTTAAATAACCCCTGTGAGAAGCCATGAAGGCTGGCATTAGGTGGTGAGTGTTTAGGTGGACAGGCTACTTCCTGTCAAGATGGCAGCACAGGTAAACACGGCTCCTGTCCTTGCACAATCACATCAGAATTACAACTAAAATATAGAACAACTATCACTCAGAACCGTCAAAGATTAAGTTGAATGGAAGTCTGACAACTATGGAATTAATAACCACATCCATCCAGACTGGTAGGAGGGGCAGGGACATGTGGCTATGGAACAGGCTGGCCCCATATCCTTGCTTGCTGGATATAAATTCAGGAGGGATATCTGAGGATCGAGGAGTCCCAGGCCACCTGCCCTCTGAGGCCCCCAAGCCCAGGGTTCTAGAGCCAGGAATATAAATCCCCTTGACTTCTGGTTGCAAAAACCAGAAGGGATTGAGTCAGTGGACAAAAATGCTAAAGTCCCAAGCAGTTTCCCTTAAAGACCCACACTAGGACTTACTCAGACTCACTGCCTCTGAGTTCCAGCACCGGGGCAGCAACCTGAAGGGCACCAGTGGCATGCAGGGAGGAACTAAAGTATCTGGCATTGTGGTGAGAGCTGGGGAACAGCTTTCTTCCAGGCAGAAAGGCAGGCAGAATCCACTGCTCTTTTCTGAGCCCTCTCTCCAGAAATCCACCGAGTCAACAGGCAGTTGCCATATCTGAGACTCCATCAAAATGGCTAACACTGTTTGCTCCACCCTGGAGACCCCCAGAGACTCAGTCCCACCAAACCTATGGGCCCAGCCAAACTGTAAACCACGATGTAACTTTTCCATATGAATGGCTGACCTTGGGTCATGCTTCACAACTTCCTAAATCCTATTAAACAAGTAACTGCCAGCTTCAGGTAAGCTCCAAGTCCCCATACCTTGTTGCTAAGTAGCCCCAGGCCTGGCACTAGCAGCAGCCAGCCTAGATTCACAGCTTAGCTTTGCCTGGGGATCTCCAAGCCCAGAACAAGTGGTAGCTACACTACCTCAGATTGCTTTATAGCTCAGGCAGGGTTCCCTGAGCAGAACACAGGTGGAGGCTGACTTTGGTCTACACCACCCAGAAAACCCAGTCCGTACACCCAGTGGACAACTGGAGACCACATCAGAGTACCACTACCCTGCCCCTACACAGCTGACCCCCCACAAAGGGCACAGGTGGGTAGTGAGTGGTCACAGTCTGTCCTTGCAGATGACTGGCCTGAGTAAATCTCTCCCATTGACTTGCCAACAGCAATCAAAGCTCAACTACAAGAGGAGAGTGCACTCAATTACCCAGCTTGGGTGATAGAGGAGGCTGTGCAACTGGACTCTACAGGAAATCTACTACATTAGGCCCCACTAACAAGGCAGGGGGTCACAGCAGATCCACCTAACACACAGAGAGACAAACATAGGGAGGCTGCCAAAACAAGGAGACAAAGAAACATGGCCCAAATGAAAGAGCAGATCAAATTCCAGGAAAAGAGCTAAACAAAATGGAGACAAGCAATCTATCAGATGTAGAGTTTCAAAACACTGGTTATAAGGATGCTCAAAGAACATAGTGAGGACCTCAATAGTATAAAAAAGATCCTGTCAGAAATGAAGGATTCACTAACTTAAATAAAGAACAATTTACAGGGAAACAACAGTACAGTGGATGAAGCCGAGCATTGAATCAATTATTTGGAACATTAGGAACCAAAAAACAACCAATCAGAAGAAGAAGGAAAAAGAAACAAACAAACAAACAAAACAAACCCTGAGGCTAGCATAAGCCTCAGGGACAACTTCAAGCATTCCAACATTTGCATGATAGGGGTGCTGGAAGGAGAAGAGAAAGATCAAGAAATTGGAAATCTGTTTGAAAAAATAATGAAAGAAAACTTCCCTAATTTGGTAAAGTAAATAGACATGCAAGTCCAGGAAATACAGACAGTCTCAAACAAGATGGATGCCAAGAGGCGCATTCCAAGACACATCATAATTAAAATGCCAAAGGTTAAAGATAAAGAGAGAATCTTAAGAATAGCAAATGAGAAGCAGTTTGTTACCTACAGGGGAGTTCCCATAAGATGGTCAGCTGATTTCTCAAAAGACACTTTGTAGGCTAGTACGAATTGCTAAGAAATATTGCAAGTTATGAAAAGCAGGGACATACAGCCAAGATTGCTTTACCCAGCAAACCTACCATTTAGACTCAAAGGGCAGCTAAAGTGCTTCCCAGACGTGTAAAAAGTAAAGAGTTCATCATCAGCAAAACAATATTATATAAAATGTCAAAGGGACTTATTTAAGAAAGAGATGAATGTCAAAATTATGAACAATAACATGGCAATAAATGCAAATATATCACTTGAATCTAAAAAACAAAGTAGGCAAACAAGCACAGAGATGGAATCATGCATACACAGAACATTTTGATGGTTGCCAGATGGAAGGGAATGTAGGACAATAGGTGAAGAGGTGAGGGGACTAAGAAGTACAAACAGGTAGTTACAGAATAGCCATGGGGATGCAAAGTACAGTGTAGGAAATGGAGTAGCCAAAGAACCTGTTCATGGACATGAACAATGGTGGAGCGATTGCCTGAGGTAATGGGGGGTGCTGGGTGGAGGGGGGCAAAAGGTGAAATATTGGGACAACTGTAATAGCATAATCAATAAAACATAGTTGAAAAAGAAAAATAAAGGAAAAAGGATGAATAAGCTATACACTGGGGATATTATAAAGGTAGATTGGACATGATTTTGTTGTAAGGGGTATAGGATTCGCTACCAGTATCTTAACTACAATACTGAGAAGATACTGGCAGCTTTAAAAACCAAGATAGAAACCCAGAAAGGTTTTGAGTGGAAAGGTTCAGTATATACTGAATTGTATATACTTTGCCTTCTCACAGAATTTGGAGAAACAAAATGAGATGTTTTGTAAGGCATGGTGATGCCAGTGGGAATGGAAATCCTGGCCCTGAAGGAAATACGCATAATGTCTCACTGTACAAACGAAGCAACAGGTTCTAGTGCATGACTACAACGGCAGAGAACTGAAGAGTGAAGGCGTGATTGATCTGGTATTTTTCCAGCCATGGTGACTCAGAACTAAAGATGGCGACAGTGGCAGAAGTTAAGAAGTGGGAGGAGCATTAGGCGTGGAAAAAGACATTTTTCTTTTTGCTTTGCTTTAAGCACATATTGAGATAATTTAGCACCAAATGACTCGCGGACAATTTTTTTCTTAAGATTGGGTGTCTAGTACAACTCTTCATTCTGTGCGCTTAAAAGGATGTTTCCTTTTGTGGGCGCGAGGAGTCTGCTTCTTTCCTTCATTCATGTTTATCTTTCGCTGGTTCCACGATAGCCTCCCCGCTCGCTTTGTACCGTCCGGTTTTCCCCAGCGCCGACTACAGTTCTGAGGCAGACGTGTTTTTTCTCGGCGAGATTTAGGGGCACCTGAGCATTCTCGGGGTCCCTTCTGGCTCCAGGAGGAGCCGATGCTTCACCCTTTTAGGACCGCGCGCGCTCGAGGAATGCGGCGCGCGCGCGGCCCCGGAGCGCGTGCAGGGCTGTAGCGTGCGGACCCGCGGGCCCTCGGGCGCGCGCGCCGCTTCCGCCCGCGCAGCTCAGCAGCACCTCGGGGATCAAGCGTAGGCAGCCCGGGGGTGGGGCCGTAAGCGGGGCCGGAGCCGGGCCGCGGTCTCGGCAGGGCCGCATCGGTTGTCAAGGGAACGGCGGCCTAAGTAGGTGTGACGTCAGCGGGCGGAGAGCTGGCCGCAATGCGGCGAGGGGCCGATTCCCGGAGCCTGGATTTCAGGCGGCTGCCTGGGGTGTGTGGCCGCTGATCTGCCAGCCCGCCCTTGCTGGGGTGGCAAGCTGCTTCGCCCAGCCCGGCGTCGGCTCCGGTGGGACGGGCTGTCGGCTGCCCTGCGCTCCCCTCCCTGTGAGTACGCAGAAGTCGCACTGGTGCCAAGCCCGGCCCACGCACTCGGCCCGCCCCGCCCGGGGGTGGGCGGCGGCGTGGGAGCTGCTGGGGTCCGTGGGCTCAGGGGCGGCGGTGAACACCCTCAGGCTGACCGGGCCTGCACCGCCAGCCACCGGGTGTGGGTTTTGGGAAATATACGTACTTTTCCGCTCCCTTCCCTGGGCTCCTCGGATCCGGAGTGTTGAGCGTGGTGTCAAGAAGGAGGAATGCCTCTTTGACTTTCCTACTCCTGATTCTGGGTTAAACGCTTAAATCACATGCGTAGTAAGTACGTTCATTTCCTTTTAGGATGTCAACCTGGTGCTGATGGTGAACCTGTGAAAGCCTTCTTATTTACATCTGAGAAAAGGTGATCGATCGATGCGTTTCATTTAGAAGAAAAAAAGTCGAATTACATTAATAGGGTCTTTTCGATAGGTGTAACTATAGGAAAAAAGTAGACTGAGAATCCCTACTGTGAAGCATCTACTGATGGGAGTCTATGGTTTTTTCTTTTCTCTTTCTTTTTGAGGAATGGATGCTAACAGTTGTTTCACCTGTTGCATTAATGATTGCTGTTTTGGGCTTTCAGGAAGAAGATTGCGTATTAGGACTATGGGAAATTTTAAAAATATATTTGAAATAAATTCGAATACCAAGATATTTTAAAACCATATTACAATCTTGTTTATGTAGGTTATTGTTGACTTATTAATTTAATTTTGTATAAAGGGTTTTTATTTCTCTTTCCCTCCTGTGCTATGTAAGAAATTCCGTTAAAGAGTTCTCCAAATCTCACAGCCTTTTTTCCTCTTGAGCTTTAGTCATATATTGGCCAATAATCAGGGGGTCAGAGAAAAGTGAAATGAGATTAAACATGATGCAGTCAGTTTTCCTATATAGTCTTTCTTAACAGCACCTGTCAAAGGGGTTGTGAGGGAGAAGATTTAAAATAATGGCATATGTGATTTTCGGGAATGCCCTCTTAAGTCTGACTTTAATTTTTGCCATTGATGTTACTAGTCAAATATTCTGTAATTTATTTGCTGTAGTGTACATTAACATTTAGGGATGATTGTTTAGGTAATGTATTTGCTATGTTAACTTATGTTTATCAGTTGTGCATGAAAAATACTAAATAGTAAATGATGTAAACACATAATGTACTTTATCACATAATTATTTTAATACTGTGATACTGTGATTATTTTAATACTTGGACATAAAGTAATTGTATTGAACACCTAAAATGTGCCAGCTACTGTGCTGATCACTTTGTTTTTCATTGATTCCATTTCTCCTTAGAAAAGTAGGTGCCATTTTAATTTTTCAGGCAAAACCAAAAACAAGCTTTAGTGGTATCAAGTAGCTTGCCCAAGGCACATTTTGTAAGTGGTAGAACAAGAAATTAAATTTGAGTCTTTTTGACCCTAGAACCATTCTGACTGACACCTCCCTCCTCTTTTTAAAACGGGAATACAAAGATGAAGAGAATGTAGTCCTAGTTCTCCAAAAAGCTAGCAGTGCAGTTGGGGGTGGGTAGGGTCACAGGAGATATTCCCTGGGTGAAAAATCAGGGCTGAGCTAGAAGGAGGTATGAGGATCAAGGCACTATGTGAGCACAGAGGAGAAGTATTTAACGGTCTCTCAAGGTTAGAGTGCTCTCGGTAGAAGATACCAATTGCATTTGATGTCAAAGTGTGCTTAGACTTTTGTATTACAGGGAAGGGCATTTCTCAGAAGAGAGATGTATATGTAATGGTACAAAGGCGAGAGTTTGGCACAGTTGAGGGCTGCAAGTAGTTTCACATGGCTACAGCACAGAATGTGGGCAGAGGTGTGGCTGGAGAAGGGGAGGTGAAGAATGGCAAGGGGTCATTTCATATGTAGTTTTAGGTCCCCAATAATAAAGACTTCATATTTTTTCCATTCGGTGGTTGGGAACCAGTGAAGAGTTTCAGACAAATAAATGATACCACCATATTTGTATTTTAGAAAGTTACTCTGGTTGCTGTGTGAGGTTAGGGTGGTGAAGGTGTGGAAACAAGCTAAAAAAATCCCCTGCAGAATCCTTCCATTGTCTTTTTGTCTCAGAGCTGCTGCCTCAGCTCGCTGCCTTTGCAGGTGGGGGAAAACGGGTGGAAGCAGAACTGCAGAAATCATCATGTACATGTTTCTTCTGTGGTCTCAACTTTCATTTGTTTCTCCACCTGTGGCTTCCAGGTTTCTGCCCCTCCATAAACAGCTTTGCATATGTGACTTCCTGATGGCAGACCCAGTGAACTCTCTTCAGAACTTGCAGCAACTCTTGGTGCTGCACAGTGTGCATCATCTCTTTCCTAAAACCCTTTTCCCTTTGGTTACTTCTCCCAATTTACCACCTGCCTCTCTGATGTATTTTTACTTTATTTTGTGGGCTCCCAGAGTTCTGTATTTAGCACTTTTTTTTCTTGCAACCATCACAGATATAAAGGATGCCCAAAACTTCAGCCTAGATCTCCTTGCTGAATTACTGTAAAAGCATTCCTTGGAGATATTGTGGGTTCAGTCTAGACCACCACAATAAAGGGAGCATTCGATAAAGTAAGTTGTATCTTTTTTTGCCGACGGAGGGTCTTGGCTTTAATTTGTAAAAAATATAACATCCGTGAAGCGCAGTCAAGTGAAGTGCAGTAAAACGAGGTATTCTATTGCCTGCCAAACATAACCTGATCATAGTACACACATACACACATATATACAGTAATGATAGCCACCATTTTTGAAAGGCTTGCCATGCTCCAGGCATTGTACGAAGTATTTTACTTTCATATTCTTTTTTAATCTGGAAAGACACCCTATGGGTGGTTTACTGTTACTTGAAAGATTAGGAAATAGAGGTCCACAGAGATTAGTCTACTGACAGGTGGAACTAACACTTGCATCCAGAGATCTGACAGTGGGGCCAGTGCTTGTAGCCGCTTAGTGCCCCTCAGATAACCAGCTCAACATGCCCACTGCATTCACTGAGTGTCCCTATAAGAAGTATTGATTACAACCCTGGCCGATTGGTGGTTCAGTTGGTTAGAGTGAGCCCATGCACCAAAAGGTTGTGGGCTCAATTCCTGGCCAGAGCACATACCTACGTTAGTTTGCAGGTTGGTCCCCAGGGTGCAGACAAGAGGCAACCAGTAGATGTTTCTTCCTTGCATCAATGTTTCTCTCCCCGTCTTTCTCCTTCCCTTTCTCTCTGGAATCAATAAGCATGTCCTTGGGTAAGGATTTAAAAAAAATAATTAAAAATCTAATTATAAAATTTACTTAGAAATTTAAATAATGGGCCTAGAAAGCCAAATCAATTATAAAAAAAGTACAAAGTCAGAGGAGTGTTATTGTCTTAATTCCAAATTCATTATAAAGCTGTAGAGCAGCAGAGCATCTAGAAATAGAGCCAAATGTACATGGTCAATTGATTCTTGACAGAATTGCCCAGGTAGTGAGGAAAAGGATAATCATTTTCAACAAATTGTGCTGGAACACTCAGGTATCCATATAACAATGTTATCAAGTCTAACCATAAGTCATTCTCAGAAATTAAATTGAAGTGGATCGATGACCTAAACATGAGCACTAAAACTATGTAACTTATGTAAGAAATGGGATAAAATCTTCCTAACCTTGAGTTGTGAATAGACTTCTCGTGATATAAAAACATGAACCATAAAAGAAAAAAGGGATAAATTGGACTTTGTGAAAATTCAAAACACTGCTAAGAGAATAAAATGATAAGCTAAAAGTTTTAAAGTGTATCTGGAATATTTTACAAACTCTTAGAACTCAGTGATGTGAAAATAAGCCAATGAAAATGGGCAAAAGATTTAACACTTATCCAAAGAAGAGATGCAGATAGCAAATAACACATGTAAAGATCAGTGTCATTAGTAATTAGGGAAATGAAATTTAAAACAGCAATCAGATAGCATTACACACTTACTAGAACAACTTAATGAAAATTGACAATGCTAAGTGCCGACAAGGACGTTAAAACTAAAACTGATGTTAAAAACATTTGGGAATGCAAAATGGTATAGCTACTTAGGGGAGCAGTTTGGCAATTATTTAAGAAGTTAAGGGCCCTGGCTGGCATAGCTCAGTGGATTGAGCATGGGCTGTGAACCAAAGTGTCGCAGGTTCGATTCCCAGTGAAGGTACATGCCTGGGTTGCAGGCCATGACCCCCAGCAACCGCACATTGATGTTTCTCTCTCTGTCTCTCCCTCCCTTCCCTCTTTAAACTAAATAAATAAAATCTTAAAAAAAAAGTTGAGCCTCATCTGATAGCTTTCCAAGGGTTTCATTTTTTATTTTTAATTATGTTTTATTGATTACATTATTAATGTAATCAATGGGACTATTATTAGTCCTAGTGTTTCCCCCTTTGTCCCCCTCCACCCAGCACACCTCACTCCTTAAGGCGCAGGTGGCAAACACAAGGCCTGACAGCTGAATCCATCTCGTTTAATCTGTATACGCAGCTGCAGTGCCGAGCTCTTTGCCCCTAGTTAAGGAGTAGTTACATTTACACAGTCTCAAAATTACATTCGACCCCTTGAAGGCAACCTCGAGGCTGATGTGGCCCCCGGTGAAAATGAGTGTGACACCCCTGCTTTAAGGCAATCTCCGTACCATTGTTCACGTTCATGGGTAAATTCTTTGACTACATTTCCTATACTGTACTTTGCATCCCCATGGCTATTCTGTAACTACCTATTTGCACTTCTTAATCCCCTCACCTCTTTAACCATTCCGGTTCATCCCCCACCAATCCAGCCACCTTTGAAACACTGTATCCATGATTCTGTCTCTGTTCTTGTTTACTTAGTTTTTTGGATTCAGTTGTTGGTAGATAAGATTTATTGCCGTTATATTATTCATAGTTTTGATCTTTTTCTTAAGTCCCTTTAACATTTCATAATAATAATGGTTTGGTGATGATGAACT